TACTACAAAGCAAAGCCAACTTTGTACTTAGACTCTTCAACTCTAGAAGCCTTACTGGAAGCATTGAGATCTGAAGTCTTTGTAAGGAGCCAGAGGATATATAATAGTTGAGCTTATGTAAGGAGATAAAAATGATGAAGAAATAAAGTGAGAGTGGTCCCTGGCTTTCAGTTTGTGGAAACCCCTCTGCTATCTACATAGAGCTTCAGAAGGTGACATTTTTTGTAATGGAAAACCAGGAAAGGCCATCAAAGAATACTGCATCAGATAAGAAACTAATTTGAGAATTGAAGCAATTATCTCAGGGCCTTAACTGACATCATTTCTTAAGAAATCAGATGGCATCTTTCCAGAACAGGAAGGCAGGGCTGTTACACATAGTTCTTGGACAGATCCCGGCAGGATACCTGGGAATACTATTTGGTGAGCTCCAAAGGGGGGATCACAGGTGGACAGGGCACACTCTCAGAAGAGGCAGGCATTTGGAAGAGGAACACTGCCAGGAACAGCAGATAACGCTAGAGTCAGTACATGCCTCTTAAATGTCATGGGGCAGCCAGCCCTGGAGGCAAGAAATTCAAGGTGAAGGCAAAGCTGCTGGGCCAGCAGTAGGAACTCCATATGGACTCCAACACCCACAGAACAGACTTCTAAGCAGAGCCCCAGAGTGGAAATGTGGTATTGCTAGGACTGGCTAAATTTCTGCCCAGAAGCCACAAGCAGAGGTGTTCATACCTTCAAGGGTATCTCAGCAAGTCAAGTGAAAGGTGCTGGGAGCTATCACTTGAGGAAATCTGATCTGCCTGGAAAAGTCAGGGAAGGAATCAACTATAATAAATTTCCTCAAAATCCAGCTTCTTCTGGATTTTTCTGGAGACTAGAGGAGCCACCTGATGGCCTGCTAGTGAGGACAGGATGAAGGAAGAAGAGAGGAAAGTGAAATGAACTGCCCTTGGAGCTGGAGCTTGTGCCACAGTGAGAAAGGATGCAAGTGTGCCTCAGCACTCCTAAACTCAGAACCGGGGTACATGCTGATGACCACCCACCATGATTTGCATTTAGTGTGGCAAGTTTGGTTAACAACAAAATCCGGAGGTCATTAAGTGCCCCAGTACCGCATCTATGTCAACCTGTAAAGGGCAGTTTCAAGAACAAGTCTGCCATCCCACCCACCCACCCACCCCAAAGAACGCAATGACCATGTCCTGCTTCAGTTATTAGGAAGAACACACTGTGACAGATGGAATGACTTAGGAAAAGAAAAAGAAAGATTAGTGACAGACTGGGTCAATCTCACCTTCCATGTGGCAGACAGCCCCTTTCCCCAAACCTTAAAATAGAAATATTTCCAGCTAGATCTTTCCCTGTTGAAGTTCAATGCTACAAAGTCTGATCTGAAACATTGCCTGGCCTAGTAGGGCCTGTGACTCGCTGAGTTAGAGTGTGTATAAGCCCACGAAGCAAGTTAATCTCCTTTTGGAGAGTACAAGTCAGTGACAGAGCTTGCTTGGTATACCCAAAGCTCTGACTTCCATCCCCAGTCGTACAACAAATAAACTTTTCCTGATAACTATACAGGCAAGGAGAGCCAAACCTCTGCCTATAAATGGCTTTAAGTGCTATTCACATTTAAAATCACCAGAGAAGGAGGGAAAGGTAGCTCTCAAGACTAAAGAGGCTCAAGTGCCATGCGTGAGTAAATACTGTGCTGCATTTCCTCCTTTTTCAGTTAATACTCTCAGTGGGTATTATGTAACCAACCTGCTAAGGCACTAAAAAAAAACTCTAGAGGAAAACAGAATTGGGTGGGATGGACAGAGTAAAACTTTTATTTATGATATCCTCTGTCTTCTGAAGAGTGAAACTCTTCTTGTTGTAAAGGTGATAAGTGTAAAAAATGCAAATTACAGAAAATGCACATAACAAAGAAGAAAGAATGTCTTAGAGGAAGGTGGTAGAGATCACAGCAAGGAAAAGATTCAAAGGCTTCCACAGGGAAAGGCCCAGAATATAAAGGAGCTGAGATGAGAGAGCTGATTGGTACAGAATTTTGCAGTGTGATATGTCATATCATTCTCTCTTAGTCAAACCTCCAGTGAAAGCTCACCAATGCTTTTAAACTGGGATATCTTGTGGAAAAATAGCTCAAAGTCTTGAATTTCATCAAAGGACCTAGCCACATTCAGGGACTGGGTGTGAACACACTGTGTCATATTCCTTTTTTTAATTTTTATTATTGTTAAGTAGTTATGCATAGTTGTGCAAGCCAGTTTGTAAGTACAATGCATCTTGATCAACGTTACTTCTTTCATCATTCTCCCCAATTCACTCATCCCATCCCCTCAACTTATCTCTCTCTCTCTCATGCTCTCTGTCTCTCTCTCCCTGTCTCTCTCCCTCTCTCTCTTTCTCTCTCTCTCTCTCTCTCTCACACACACACACACACAAAACTCTTGTTTCTATATCTTGGAGTTCATTTTGATTAGCATCATTTTATAGCTATTGAGCTATTGCATTTCTTTGCTAGAACTATCCTAGACATACACTAATTATTATAAATGAGAGAAACCATGGAGCCTATATTTATTTGGGTCTAGCTTACTTCCCTTTATATGATTTTTTTCCAAGTCTTTCCACTTCCTTATGAATAGGGCGATGTTGATGTCATTCTTTCTGATGGAAGCACAGAATTCGCACACACTTATGACCATCACATTCTAAAGGATTGGAAAGCACGTCTTAACAGATGGGAAATAGAGAGGAGAGAGCATCAGTGAAGGCTCTCCAGAAGAGGCAGCATCAAAGATGGGCCGTAAAGTTAGCTAGGCACTGGTAGCTCATGCCTCTAATCCTAACTACTCAAGAGGCTGAGATATGAAAATTGAGGTTCAAAGCCAGGTGGGGTAGGAAAGTCTGTGTGACTTTTACCTCCAATTAACTAGCAAAAAGCCATAAGTAGAGGTATGGCTCAAGTGGTAGAGTGCCAGACTGGTAGAGCAGAAAAATCTGAGTGTTAGTATGAAGCCCTGAATTCAAGCCCAGTGATATTCCCCTCTCTCCCCCAAAAAAGTTTCCAAAGTTTCTGCTACAGTTAAGAACAGGGAAGACTCCAAGTTCTAAAGCCTAAGAGTGGGGCAGGAATATCTGAAAGCATTTGGAATGTCTAGAAAGTGGTTCTAATGATGAGCAGGGAGAGAAGAGCAAGCTGCTCCACCTATGGATGCCTGGCCACCTTTCAATTTTTTACAGCTGTAGTGGATGCTATGGAGGAAAAAAAGCTGAAAAGCAAAGACTGTTGTGGGATTTGCAAGAAGATAGGCTAAGAAGACAGGCACAACATACTATATCTCTGAAAGGATAATATGCCTAAAAACCCTCTAGCTCACTCACTCCAATTGGCTGCATCTTTCACATGACCAGACAGATCCCATATCCACAGAGGCCTCTACCTGTATACCAGGGCAACTAAGGATACCTGTTAGGTCTGCCCGGGAAAACAGCCCTTCCCTCTACTTCAATAAAGAGTAGGCATTTTCACTTTTAGTAAGATTAATGTGACTGAAAACAGACCTAAAAGGTATACTTAAAAGGTCAAGATCTACATCTTCTATTTTATTTCCATTTCTGCTCATTGGAACACATCCTTTTATTTCATAGAGGCATGACCATAAAGTGTACGAGAGGTGTTATAACTTGATAAAAGAAAGTTGATGCAAAAGCAAGTGGCAGATTCATCCTTGAAAAAAAAAAACATGTTCTTCTGTCTTGGAAAATAACTTTTTGGACTTGAATAAACAGTTAAAATTAAAAAATGCATAATCTGGGATTTTTGATACCAGTGACATTAACAGGTTAACAGAGAAAGTCAATTGCCTTGGCACTTTCAGGTGACCGGGGTTCTAGTTCATTCCACCCCTCAGACTTTCAAGATCTCCCAGTTGAAATAATATTTATTGAAGTGGCGCTGTAGCTCAGGTGGTATAGCGCTCGCCTTGAGCTGAAGAGCTGAGGGACAGCGTTGGGCGCTGAGTTCAAGCCCAGAGTTCAAGCCCCATAACCGACTATATATATATATATATATATATATATAGTACATATATATATATATATACTATATATATATATATAGACTATATATATATATATACTATATATATATATAGTATATATATATATAGTATATATATATATACTATATATATATATATATAGTATATATATATATATAGTCTATATATATATATATATATAGTATTTATCGAAATGAACTCCAGGAAATTCAAAACGAGTTTTATTTCTTTGTTGCTGGTTTTTTGTTTTCTTTTGTTTACCTGTCTGGGAGGGTGGGGGAGCACAAAAATGGAGGGACAACGAGTGAACAAATACAACAGTGATACTCACTAGACGCTATGTTGAAAATGAACTATACCAGAGATGGGAAGGAAAATCTGGGAGAGAGCGAAGGAAGGGTTGACATAGTCCAAAAAGAAATGTACTCACTACCTGACATGTTAACTGTAACCCCTCTGTATATCACCTTTATAATATTTTTTAAAAAGATCTCTCAGTTGTATTTCCAAGGGTAAAATTAAAAGACTTCCAAGCCTCTTTCCAAAGTTCCCCGTCCTGAGAATTCCTGGCCTTGTGCTTTTTGCCTCGGGACATGGAAGGGGTTTTGAGGGCAATAAACACTAAATTCTGGTTTCTTGCTAGGATCCTTGCACAAGACTAATTCCCCTAATTCTGCACTACATAAAAGAAAAGTATTTCCAGTCTGTAGCTCCGTAATTGTGTCGCGTCCCCCTCCACACCCCGCCCTGTATAGCGGGAAACGCAGGTGGCCCCTACGGGCTCCTGGTCATGGGAACTACATCTCCCATGGTCCCCGGGAGGAGGACGCCCACCTGATTGGCTAAGGGCCCATGACGCTCAGTGTTTTGGCCGGGACGGTCACATGTTTCCTTTGTTGTGAGCTGCTGCGGTGACTGGAGGCCGGGGGAGACGCTGGCGCCGGAGAGTGCGCTGCGCTGCTGGCCCCGCTGCTGCTGGCCTCGCTGCTGCTGACCGCTCTCAGCCTGCGCCGAGAGGTACCCGGGAATGACAGCCTCAGGACCGGCCCAAAGGCGAGAAACTGGCCTGAGCCTGGGACCTCGGGGGCGGAGGGTTAGCGGAGGTCCTGACTGCCCGGTGCCTGCGGGAGGGAAGCCAGCGGCGGCCGCCAGCCTCTCGGAGCCAGCGGCAGGATCTCGGGGAGGACTTCGGCTGGGCCTAACGGGCTTTTTTTTTTTTTTTTTTTTTTTTCTGAGGCGCAGGGCCACCAGCGTTGCCGGAGGCCACCCGACGGGTGTCGGTAGCGGGCATGGTGGGCGGTGGGGGGTTGGAGAAACATCCCCGCCTCCGGCAGTGCGGTCCCGGAACTGCTGCGCAGGCCGCGGGGAAGGGGGCAGTGGGGAGGCCGCGGGTCCCCGCGGCAGGTGCTGTCGCGCCGCCGCCTCGGGGCCAGGTGGGGGCACGCGAGGAGAGGTCCGCGCGAGCCGGGGTACGTGTCTGCATTTTAAGATGCGCTTCGAATGGCACCGATTTTATTTTTTTAATCTCCAGAAGTGCTGAGAGTGCTACGGCCACAAATCCAGCCTGGTGGCTGGGGGCGACTCCTGGTCCAAAGTAGGGGTCTCTAGTGCTGCAGACTAGAAAAGCCCCGTTAAAGCGATTGCGAAATGTGCTTGGCACTGTCACCTGACCGTTACCCCCGCCCCCGCCGTCCTGCAGCCTTTGTTTACCGAGACTGCCGACCGGGCCTGCTCGGGGAGCCCAGCCTCGGCGTCCGTCCCCCGGGAGCCAGCGGGCGGGGGGTGGGGGTGGGGGGGGAGGGATGGGCGTTCCGCCGGCGCAGACCCCGCCTAACCTCTCCACCTTTCCACCACTCCGGGGCTCCGCGTCTGAATTTACTTCCCAGTGTCCCCGCCTTCTAAGTCCTGACGCGGCCGCGAGGACTGCTAGCCCAGCGGGGATTGGGCGCCTTCGGAGCTTGTGGCGGGACCGGCAGGAGTTCGTCCCGCCCCCGTGAAGGTGATCTGGAGGACGCGCGGGAGCGCGCTCGGGCCGCGGGTGCCGAGTGGAGGGGCGGGAGGGGGGGAGGGCAGGAGGAGGGGTGCCTACCCACGTGCCCCCAGCTCTTTCTCCCCCTCCTCCCACTCCCCCCCCCCCCCCCCCCCGCGCCTCCGGGGCTGCGGCGGCGGGGCCCGAGCGAATGGGCAGTTCTGGGCACGCCGGGCCCACCGCCGCAGCCCGCCCGCGAGAACCGGAACATTTGCGCCCCATAATTGCTGTCGCGATATCTGCGGCGGTGGTGCGAAGGAAGTCGTCCGCCGGCGAGTGTGTAAACAGGCTGAGCTGGCGAAATATAAACCACGAAACTACGTTTATGAAGGGCCTCGGGCCACGCCGCGGGCAGTGACTATTAACTGTTGATTTTAGTAGATTTTAATGATTCATTGCTGGCTTTTTATAGACACACTGCCTTACTCTTTACAACTGCGGACCACTGAAGTCCATCACTGATTGATTAAAAAAAAAAAGAAAAGAACCTGGAGGTTTTTAATTGTTTGCTAAACAGTTAAAATCTTTCTGTTGTATCTTTGAAGAGAGATTATTAATCGGGCATCGGTGGCTCTCGCCTGTAACCCTAGCTGCCCAAGAGACCAACATCTGAATATCATGGTTCGAAGCCAGCCCAGGCAGGAAAGTCAGTTGAAACTCTTATCATAATCCTTTTAACAACCAAAATGCCGGAAGTGGGCTGTAGTACAAGTACTAGAGCACTATCCTTGAGCAAAAAAGCTCAGGGACCGTGCCCAAGTTTGAGTTAAAGACCCAGGACTGGCATCCAAATTGTTACAGACCCTAAAAGATCTTATATGCCCTGGCTTGAGTTGTTTTGTTTGGGCAATTCTAGTTGTAGCTCACACTTTGTGTGTGTGTGTGTGTGTGTGTGTGTGTGTGTGTGTGCGTGCGCGCGCGCGCGCGCGCGCGCGCATGCCATCCTGGGGCTTGAACTCAGCTGAGCTTTTGCTCAATGCTAGCACTCTACCACTTGAGCCACAGGGCCATTTTTGGCTTTTTCTATGTGGTGCTGAGGAATCCAACCCAAGGCTTTATGCATGCTAGACAAGCACTCTACAACTAAGCCATATTCCCAGCCCCCTACCTCACACATTTTAATATATTAATCAGCATGGTAATTAAGAGTTTTAAAGAAGTGAACTGCAAATGGGTTCTTTGAAAGGGGAAAATGACAATCATCTGGAAGGTCAGTCATTTTTAGCTAAAGTAGTGACAGTGATTTTTTTTTACTCTTTTTGAGCTAAGGGGACACTTGGGGTTTTCCCCAATTTCTTTTCCTGTAATTCTGTAGACATTTATCGAAGATAATACAGTTTTTAGGAGCTCTCCTGGCTGGGGCAGGAATTGTTTGATATAGTCTTACTGATACAATCTTTTTTTTTTTCTTCCCCCTTTGGTCGTGGGGTTTGAGCTCTTCCGCTCAAGGCTAGCACTCTACCACTTTGAGCCACAGCTTCACTTCTGGTTTTGTGGTGGTTAATTGAAGATAAGAATCTTAGGGACTTTTCCTGCCTGGACTGGCTTCCAATCTGGATCCTCAGATCTCAGCCTTCTGAGTAGCTAAGATTACAGAACAAATTACCAGTGCCCAGCCTAGTTTACAGCTTAATAGATATTTGAAATTCAAGCAGAGATAGCTACACTAGAATGAACAGCTGATAGATTCATTGAGAACACATACAAATGTAATTGTTTAACCTTTTAAAAAAATAAATCAAGTCAGCTCCAGTGATTCTTACATACCTCTAATCCTAGCTACTCAGAAGTCTGAGATCTGAGGATTGTGGTTCAAAGCCAGCCCAGGCAAGAAAGTCTGTGAGACTCTTACCCAATAAACTACTCAGAAAAATCTGTAAGTGGAGTTGTGGCTCAGGTGGTAGAGTGCTACTCTTGAGCACAAAGAGGCTCAGGGACAACTTCCAGGCCCTGAGTGCAAACCCAGGACTAGCCGAAAAAAAAAAAAAGTCATCACAATGGTGGCTCATACATGTAATTCTCGCTATTCAAGAGGCTGAGATCGGAGGACCACAGTTCTAAGCCAGCTGAGACAGGAAATTCTATGAGACTTATCTCCAGTGAACCACCAAAAAGCTTAGAAGTGGTAGAGCACTGGCCTTGAGTGTGCACGCATGTGTGCACACACACACACCATTTGATAAAATCTGTTCTAACAAAGCATATGACTTAATCTCCAAACAGGAAGAAGAAATACTATTCTGAGTTAAGGCTGGCTATCAGCTTTATCTTAAACTTTCCTGGCTTTTGTCCAAGTTGTTTAGAACTTTAATGCTTTTGCAAGACACTTTTTTACTTCCTTGTTTTTCTGCCATTTCATTAAAAGCCAAAGGTCAAGCCTTTGAAAAATAAATACCAGTACACATCAAGTAAGCAGCTGCATTTATTCTTGTTTGCTCTAAGGTAAATATTTAGGTGTAGGCTATATAATGAGATTCAAATAACATATTCCCTCTAGTACATAAATGCAAAGCACATATTACTGTATGTGGTTTTATTTCTGTTGTGGCTAGAACAATGAAAGAGAGACTGTGTGGCAACTTGTAAACTTTGTAAACACTCAGTTTTCTGGTGCTTTCCCTCACTGGCTGGCACTCGACCCCCTGAGCCATACCTCTAACCCCATCTTTACTGAGATTTCTTTTTTTTGGGGGGGGGGGAGTCCGGTCGTGGGCCTGAACTCTGGGCCTGGTGCTGTCCCTCAGCTCTTCAGCTCAAGGCTAGCGCTTTACCACTTGAGCCACAGCGCCACTTCCGGCTTTTTTCTTTTTGCTTTTGTGGTGCTGAGGAATTGAACCCAGGGCCTCATACATGCAAGGCAAGCACTCTACCACTGAGCCACCTTCCCAGCCCCTTTACTGAGATTTCTAAAAGTTATTTCGGTAGATTTTGAATTTACAAAGGTAAATAAAAATCACTGACTTCACGTATTTTTATACATTTAGAGTGGTACTTCTCAAATTAGGTCAGATGACATAGTTGTGTACTTACAGATTTTAAGTTATTGGAACAAAATAAAAAAAAAAAACAGCCAGGGCACTGGTGGTTCCTCCTATAATCCTAGGTACAGAGGAGGCTGAGATCTGAGGACCACTGTTCAAAGCCAGCCTGGGAAAGAAAGGCTGTGGGACCCTTATCTCCTGTTAGTCACCTAAAAACTGGAAGTGGAGCTGTGTGGCTCAAAGTGGTAGAGAGCTAGCCTTGAGCAAAAAAAAATATCAGGGACAGCGCCCAGTGAGCTCAAACTCTACAACTGACAAAAAAAAAAAAATTCTGCTAACCAGAAACAGAATTTTGTCATGTGTCTATAGATCTTTTAATAAAATAGTGCATTAAAAGAAACCTGGGAACTGGTGGCTTAGGCCTATAATCGTCAGGCGGTCAGGGCTGATAAATCTAAGACTCTTATCTTCAATTAACTCATTTACTGGAGATAAGAGTCTCCCAGACTTTCCTTCCCTGGCTGGCTTGGAACCACAATCCTCAGATCTCAGCCTCCTGATTATCTAAGATGACAGGTGTGAGCCACTGACACCTGGCTAAATTTGTAATTTTTAAAAGTGGTCCCCAAGGGTTGAGGTCATAGTTCAGTGCTTATTAACCTGTAGAACATCCTGGGTTCGATTGTGAGCACCAAAAGAAGAAAGGAAAGGTGGCCATCAAAAAAAATTTTAATGAGTTTTTGATACAATCAAGTGAAAATATCTAAAATTTTATTTAAAAAATTTTTTTTAAAAGTTGGTCTGAGCACTGGTTGCTCACACCTATAATCCTAGCTACTCAGGAGGAGGTCTAAGGATCAGGGTTCAAAACCAGCTTAGGCAGATGAGTCCATACGATGCCTATCTCCAGTTAACCACCAGAAAACCAAAATGGAGCTGTGGCTCAAAGTGGTAGAGTGCTAGTCTTGAAGGAACGAGCTCACAGACAGTGCCCAGTTCAAGCCCATAGCCACAAAACAAAAATGTGGTTCAGTTGGGGCTGGAGGTGTGGCTCAGATAGTAGAATGCCAGCCGGTAAGCAAAAGTGTCAGATAGAGTTTGTGCTCCTGGTCTCAGACAAAAACCAAACCAACACACAGTTTTGCATAGTACTTAGTTAAAAATAAATTAATGATTATTCAAAAATAAAGAGTAGTGGGACACCAGTGACTCACTCCAGTAATCCTAGCTACTCTGGAGGATCTGAGGATCATGATTTGAAACCAGACTGGGAAGGAGAGACTCCAATTAACCACTGGGAACCTGAAAGTGGCACTGTGACTTAAATCGTAAAGTGCTAGCTATGAGCACAAAGAGGCTCAGAGATAGTGCTCAGGTCATGAGTTCAAGCCTCAAGACCTACAAATAAATGAAGCCTCTACTGTGTTGCAATTATTTGCTAGTTTTACATTTCAGTTATTGTGTTATTTTTGTCACTGTCTCTTAGCTTTTTCCCTTCTAGGCTGGTGCGCTACCGCCTGAGCACAGCTCCACTTCCCAATTTTTGCTAGTTAATTGGAGATAGTCTAATAGAGTTTCCTGCTCAATCTATTGGCTTTGGTCTAATTCTCAGATCTCAACCTCTTGGGTAGCTAGGTTTACAGGCTGAGCTACCCTGTGATACCCAGCTCCAATTACCATGTATCTTTAAAGATAAACTTCTTCCTCCTTGGCCCTTCTTGTTACTGCCCTGTTCTTTATCCATGGTTAAATTTGAGAAAATGGAGTAAAATAGAGCATTATAGTATGTGACAATGCATTACCACAAGTTGAAAAGGCCATGCTAAATCAGGATCTTGTTCATTTCTTGTGTTTTGTACTATTTAGTCTTCAGAAGGCCCTTAGTAATTCACATCATCCTTGAGGCTGATCCTTTGTGTAGTATTCCTTTATTCTAAATAGGGCAAAGAAACTTGCTTTATAGCTACTCTGTAGATCAGTTCTGACATAATTCATCTTCTACTTTGTACCTTAACATCCCCTGTCTCTTGCCCTATTAGCTTGATGAGTGCTACCTAAAGTCCTGAAGAAAATGCCTAGTTGAATGGCCTTACCCTTTCAATTCTGTAGGTATAATTCTAGATTGAATCATGAGAAGCTCTCTTCCAATTTGTACTTGGTTTTCCTCAAGAGAAATGCTAAGAATTGAAATACATGTTAGTATCAGTCTTGGAGTTGGTTGTAGTCTTAGACCTAAAGGGTCTAAAATTGGATCTGAATCCAATATTTGCTATCTCAGTGCCAGAGACAGACTATAAATGTTTCTTGAATTGACTTGAATCCTTTCATTGGCTCAGGATCTCATTGGGAAAGAATGCTTAGCTAGGACTACCCATCTCTTAATTTAACCAAATTACAATGTTCCATTACCACAACTACATACAGGTTAAACCTACTTCTGAAAGGAAGGAAAGATACAAGATTCATTCATCTTATAATCATAGTTTTGCTGTAGATATGTTTATATATAAATATATATAGTAGTAGTTTTTATTTGGTGTTGGTTTCAACTTTTGGATTTGCCTAAACTTGCTAAGAATTTACAAGTTCTACTGATAAGTAGAAAAAAAAAGAAAAGGAGGGAGGAATTTTTCTGAATTGTTTCATTTGTATAGCGATTAAGTCAATAAGGTTCAACAAAACAGAAGAAATAATACATTTACATATTAAAAGGAGATATAAGTATGTCATAAACTTAGAAATTTGCTATAGAAATTTAGATAATTGAGGATTTTAAAACTAGGAGTTTTAGCCAGATACCAGTGGCTCACACTTGTAATCCTAGCTACTCAGGAGGCTGAGATCTGAGGATCATGCCTCGAAGCCAGCCCAGGCAGGAAAGTCCATGAGACTCTTATCACCAACCAGAAACCAGAAGTGTCATTATGACTCAAAGTGGTAGAGCACTAGCCTTGAACTGAAGAGCTGAGGGACAGCACCCAGGCCCAGAGTTCAAGCCCCACGACTGACCAAAACAAACAAAAACTGGGAATTTCTCTGTATTCTTGATACTACTATGTACTTCATAGTAACTATGTTGTATACTTTGGATGAGATTGATAGAATTATTAGAATTGATACAACTATTATAGATGGATACAATTATTAGAATTATTAAAAATTAGTGGTACCAGGTTTGAATAAAACATAAATTTCAAAACATTCTACAAGCTAGACCCTGGTGGCTCATGTCTGTAATCCTAGTTACTCAGGAAGCTAAGAGCTAAGAATTTTAGCCCAGGCAGGAAAGTGATGAGATTTTCCAATTAATTACCAGCAAAACAGAAGTTGTGCTGTGGCTCAGAGTGGTAAAGCAGTATAAAAAAAAACTCAGGGACAGTGCCCAGGGCCTGAGTTCAAGCCCATGACCAAAAAAAAAAGATTCTTCAGATAGCCAAAGTGGAGTGATCACAGTATATTTATTTTTCATCCCAGTGCCACAGTTTATTGTCATGGATATGTTTCATCATCTTTCACTTAAATCTTAATGTAGGACAATTTTCAAGTGAAGAAGCTGATATGTAAGATTAAAATGTAGAAGAACATAAAGTTATTAGTTTGCTTCAAAAAAGTGTTATCCTTAATGATTTTCTATACAAAAATGGACTTTCAGTCATAATTGGAATTTACTAAGACAATGTTTTGAGATAAGTACTGTCAACTCTACATGAACTGATGAGGATCTGATTTATATGTTGCTGTTCTCTCTTTTAGGTGTGGAAATTAAAAAAAAAAAAGGACAACTATTTTGAATGAAGTTTTGACCAAGCAAATGCTGGCAAGGTATACCTGTACTATTTATAAACTAAACATTGTTATCCAGTGATTTAAGCCATTTTTCTTTTTTTAACCAGGGATCACTTAATCACCAGTCAGAATAACAAGGAACCATTGTGTCCTTCAAATAAATGTCACAATCATTTGTTACTAAATATTTACCCACTATTTTTTATTCCTTTCTAAGAACTTCAATTCCTTTTCTTCAGAACATCAAAATAGGTTTTCTCCACTCATTATTCTGGGACATAGGCCAAGGACATGTAATTTAAAAATTAGAAAGTAGGGGGCTGGGAAGGTGGCTCAGTGGTAGAGTGCTTGCCTTGCATGCTCGAGGCCCTGGGTTCGATTCCTCAGCACCATATAAGCAAAAAGAAAAAAGCCGGAAGTGGTGCTGTGGCTCAAGTGGTAGAGCGTTAGCCGCCTTGAGCTGAAGAGCTGAGGGACAGTGCCCAGGCCCAGAGTTCAGGCCCCACGACCGGACCCAAAAAAAAAAAAAAAATTAGAAAGTAGGTCTACAACACTTATGATTCTGTTGTGAGAAATAAATCCTAGAATATCTTTAACCAGAAGACTTTTTTTTTTTTATTGTGAGAATACCGTACAGAGGAGTTACAATTACATGATCAAGATAACGAGTACATTTCTTATCAATCATTGTTGCCTCCTCTTTGTTTCCCCTTTCCATCCCTTCCCATACTCCCCTCCCTCTTCCCATCTGATCCTCCCCCCACCCTCCACCAAAGTTGTAAAGTTTGTTTTTCTACATAATTACTTGTACATCTCATTGTTGCAATGGGTCCACCTGTATCCCTAGTTAAACGATTTGTTTTTTCCCTTCCTCTCCACAAATTATACCAACATCAAATACAGTGAAAACATGGGTTATACTGTGGGGGAGGGACATACAAAGCAACAAAGAAATCATCTTATAAATATGTTAGAAACAATTGCATGAAAGGAAAAAAAAAACAAAAAAACATTTGAATACTTATCTTGGGGTTCATTCCCCCAACATCAACTTATCTGACCTTTTCTGCTTCACTCAGACATATACTAGTTATTGCAAATAAGGGAAATCATGGGACCTATGTTTCTTTGGGCCTGGCTTACTTCACTTAATATAATTTTTTCCAAGTCTTTCCATTTCCTAACAAATGGGGCAATGTCATTCTTTCTGATGGAGGCATAGAATTGTGTATATATACCACATTTTCTTGATCCATTCATCTACTTAGGGGCATCTGGGTTGGCTCTATATCTTAGCTATGATAAATAATGCTGCAATTAACATAGTTGTGCTGGTAGCTTTAGTGTGGTCTTTTTGTGATCATTTGGGTAAATGCCCAAAAGTGGGATTGCTGGGTCATAGGGGAGCTCTATCTGGAGTCTTTTGAGGAACCTCCATACTGCTTTCCAAAGTGGTTGAACAAGTTTACACTCCCAACAACAATGCAATAAGGTTCCCTTCTGTCCACATCTTCTCCAGCATCTATTGTTATTAGAGTTCTTGATTATAGCCATTCTAACTGTGGTGAGGTGGTATCTCAGTGCTGTTTTGATTTACGAACTGCTCAACCTCTCTAGCCATAAAAGAAATGCAAATCAAAACAACATTGAGATACCACCTCACCCCAGAAGACTCTTTTAAAGCACCATTGCTTTCAAGTAAGAGAATAGCTCCAGAAATAAAGCACCTGTAAAAATGAAGGAGAAAAAGAGAATATGTAGGCTATTTTTTCCATATAAATCAGTTGTGATATGACAGTCTGATCACACTTAACCTAAATACATCTTTCAATCCTTATTTATCTTTGTTGGAATACACATTTTCCTACATGTATTGTACAAAGAGGTTTTTCATTGCTTAACTTTTTCCTAATGGTAATAATTATGCTCTTAAATTTGCAAAAATTTTAAGAGAATTCAATCTGTAGTGTTTCCTGTTTGTTCTGTCATGTTAAGTTCATTTAAGATAAACTTTTAACCTATATTACATATTTGAGATATGGTTAAGGTTTTGTTTACATTTTTAACCATGGGTGGTTAAAATATTTATATAAAATAGAAAGGCAGGGGGTGGGTTTGTGGCTTTTAGGTAGAGTGCTTGCCTAGCATGCGTGAAGCACTGGTTTCAATTCCTCAGTACCACATAAACAGAAAAAGCAGTAAGTGGTGCTATGGTTCAAGTGGTAGAGAGCTTGCCTTGAGCACCGAGAGACTCAAAGGTCAGTGCCTTCACCCTGAGTTCAAGCACCAAGACCAGCAAAAAAAAAAAAAGAAGAAGAAGAAGAAGAAAGAAAGGCAAAGTCTAGTAAATTATTATATATGGAAGCCCAAAAGTCAGATTCCAAATTCACATCATATTTCTTTTTGTTGTTGTTGGTGGTGTAGTGGTCCAGGGCTTGAACTCTGGGCCCTGCTTCAGCTCAAGGCTGAAGCATTTGAGCCACAGCACCACTTCTGGTTTTCTGGTGGTTAATTGGAGATAAAAGTCTCAGACTTTCCTGTCCAGGCTGGCTTTGAACCATGATCTTCAGATCTCAGCCTCCTGAGAAGCTAAGATTACAGATGTAAGCCACTAGCACCTGGCTTCACATCACATTTCTAAGATGCCTCTGTTCAAATCATTGGCCCTGTTAAAAACAGAAAGATCTTATATCTCTCTGTTATGGAGACTAGTTCATGTAGAATTCTTAGAAAGTCTAGAAAAAGCAAAAATGCTCAAAAGCCAGGTCGCCAGCCACACCTGCTTGGAGAAGACTCTGTGAGATGGCTTCCTTATGAATGAAGCAGTAAATGAGTTTCTTGTTGCTGTTGGATTCTCTATCATACCATGTGGTTTTATGTGTTCTAATCCAGATTTTTCTGTTTTCTCTTGGGTACAATCAGTGGAGAACATGTTATCTGTTAACAAACTGAAGAAGCAATTATGATAAAAGGGGTGTAAAATAACAGAAAAAAGCAAACCCATAACTTTTATCAATACTTATTGCAACCCCTAAGTTTATTTATTACTGCATACACTAAGATCATTAGATGTAAAAGCAAAGTATCTTGGGCTGGGAAGGTGGCTCAGTGGTAGAGCGCTTGCCTTGCATGCCTGAGGCCCTGGGTTCCATTCCTCAGCACCACATAAGCAAAAAGCAAAAAGCCAGAAGTGGTGCTGTGGCTCAAGTGGTAGAGCACTAACCTTGAGCTGAAGAGATGAGGGACAACGCCCAGGCCCAGAGCTCAGGCCCCACGACAGGACCCAAAAACAAATAAAAATAAAAAATAAAGCAAAGTATCTTTTTGTGTATGTTTCCCTACTGGGAAATAGAAGGAAAAATTTTTTTAGTTCTTCTAACATGCTACTTGTTTGCATTTCATTTAAGCATTATGAGAAGGACAGTGGATGGAGGCAGAAAGACCAAGATTTTTATTGTGAATACTACTAATATCATTACCCAAAGTCTACAAAAGCTAGTGTGAATTTTTTGAACCTGAAATACAAAGAAGCTGATATAAAGAATAAATTCCTGATTTGAGAAGCTGACAAACACCTATTTTAATAATAAGTTGAATCTAGATTCAGAAAGCATTCAGAATAAAATATGTCACCAATATGTCATCAGTCTATGTTTATATAATTGTAGAATTCTCTTTTTTATCACTTGTGATATTATATACTTAAGTTTTAACAACAACAAGAAATTGACATTCAGATGCAGTGAGATTTTTCTTGCTTATGGGAAATAGATGTCTCTGTGTAGAAGTATTTCTGAGATAGCTTCAAATTTAAAATATGTTCAATATATGTGATACTACCTCCATATGGAAACATGAATTTTGAAGTGATTCTGTGCAATATAAATAGATTTTTAAATTTTATCTGTGTATACTCATGCATGTGAGAATGTGGGCACACGTACATGGACAGCCATAACCCAAGAAATTAGATGCCCTACAATGAGACAAATATGCACTCTTTACATAAATTGTAATAGTAAATTTAAAAACTAATCATATAAGCCAGGTGCCAGCACCTCTTTCCAGTAATCCTAGCTATTCAGGAAGCTGAGATCTGAGGATCTAGGTCCGAAGCCAGCCCAAGGAAGGAAGTGCATGAAAGGCTTATTCCAATCAACCACCAAAACGTTGATGGAGCTTTGGGCTCAAGTGGTAGAGCACAAGCCTTGAGCAATAAACTTATGGACAGTGCCCAGGCCCAGAGTTCAGGACTGGCACCAAAAGAAGATTGTAATAATAGAGCAGTTGGCTAGAGAATTTAAATTTGCTACATATGAGACCTCTTGTCTATGCTACCTTAAATTATTTTGGTATTGTGCTTTGTTGCAACTATAATAAAAGAACTGCAACAGCATTATCTTATGCTCTAAACTCTAGGCCTAGAAGAGTCCTTTAATAATAGTATACTGTTGCGGCTGATGGAAGCAACAAAAATAAGTAAATTCAGTGGGAATTTCTAATGTTGGAAACAACTAGTGAATCTTGACACTAGAGTATCAGAAGCATTAGAGTGATTGAGAAGAGCACAAAGATAACATGAAAAAGAGAGTATGTAATAAAGTGAGTTGATTTTATTCTATATTTTATTTCCCTTTGTGTCACTTACATTTTTTAAAATGGAGAATGATTTAATATGTGACAGGGTTCAGGAAATACAGTGTTAAATTAAGATTATTAACTCTCAAAGCTCATTCTTGTTATGTAGGATGGCATCTCATGTTTTAAATTATCCATGATATCCTTTTGCTACCTTATTGCTGCCATAACAAGTATTTAAAACCAGTTATTAATACACTTTGGATCATATATCACCTGTAGATGTAAAAATAAAGTAAGTAAAAGAATTCCCTTTAAATTGGTATCAAAGAGAGTTGATCTCCATAGCCAAGTGCTTAAGTCCATTGGCTACTTATTTGCAGCCATGGAAGGAAAGAGGATGGGTGAAAGGAAGCAGGGCTTAAGACTTTTTTTTTTTGGGTCCGGTCATGAGTCCTGAACTCTGGGCCTGGGCGCTGTCCCTCAGCGCTTCAGCTCAAGGCTAGCACTCTACCACTTGAGCCACAGCACCACTTTCGGCTTTTTTCTTTTTGCTTATGTGGTGCTGAAGAATCTCGAACCCAGGGCCTCATGCATGCAAGGCAAGTGCTAAGACTTTTTTTTTTTTTAAAAAAGTACTACCACATAATGGAAATACTAGGGAATATGAGGGAAAAACAGAAGATAAATGAACCATTTGATTTGTGGTTGTGTTCCTGGTTTTTTATCCCCATATGCATTAGTGTATAATCTTTTTTGTTAGAATGTACTTAAGATACGCTTTTCTACTTACTATCTGACTGATATACTTCCCACATCATTAGTCTGCATACCTTTTTTGGCATGGGGTAGGGGTGGGGGTGATACCAGGGCTTGAATTCAGGACCTGGGTGCTGTCCTTCAGTGTTTTTTTGTTTGTATGTTTGTTTGTTTGTTGCTCGAGGCTAGCACTCTACTATTTGAGCCACAGCTCCACTTCTGGCTTTTTGGTAGTCAACTAGAGATAAGAGTCACAATCTTTTCTGGCAGGGCTAGCATCAACCATGATCCTTAGATTTCAGCCTCCTGAGTAGATAGGGTTACAAGCATGAGCCACCAGTACTCAGCTGTACATACTTTTTTTTTTTTTGGGTCCGGTCATGGGGCCTGAACTCTGGGCCTGGGCGCTGTCCCTCAGCTCTTCAGCTCAAGGCTAGCGCTCTACCACTTGAGCCACAGCGCCACTTCTGGCTTGGTTTTTTTTTCTGCTTATGTGGTGCTGAGCAATCGAACCCAGGGCCTCAGGCATGCAAGGCAAGCGCTCTACCACTGAGCCACCTTCCCAGCCCTATACATACTTTTTAATGGTTGCTTGACTGTTCAGTCCTGAAGACAGAGTGTAGATTAACTCATTCCCTGTTGTGGGACTTTAGGTTTTTAAGTATCCTCTGTTAACACATTAAACATCTTATGTAAATAAATCTTTCCACATATTCTTGATGATTTCCTTAGGAAAAATTGCTTTAAAAAAAAGACACTAGCCAAACAATATGTAAGTTCTTAACGTTTGTTGATATATAACTAAATTTCTGTCTTACAATGTTAAGATAATAACTTTATATTAGGATTGTGATTATACTGTAATGGTGTCTTACACCATTCGGACTTACCTTTGCAGTCAGCTCAGTTAAGTAGAATAAAACCCAGCTATGTGAAAAGGGAGATGGAAAGTTTTAGTAATTTGGAAAGTACATAGTGTCCTTTCAGCTGAGAGTTTCAAGAAAACAATTGAAAATGTTTCCTAATGTTCTAATTATGAAAATGTAAGCATTTATCAGTTTTTCTTGAAATGAGATAGTGTGTGAAATATATTTGTCATGTGACATCTTTTTGAATTTTTTTACAGATTAAAATGTTTTCGTTTCTTTCCTTTTAGCAACTTAAAGGAGATCTCTACCAGTCTTTTCTCAACAATTATATAGTCAACTGATGTAACAATGGTACTAATATTGGGACGCAGACTAAACAGAGAGGATCTTGGGGTTCGTGATTCCCCAGCAACTAAGCGTAAAGTTTTTGAAATGGACCCCAAATCTCTGACAGGTCGTGAGTTTTTTGACTTCTCTTCAGGATCATCCCATGCTGAAAACATACTCCAGATATTCAATGAATTCCGAGACAGCCGTTTATTCACTGATGTGATCATTTGTGTGGAAGGAAAAGAGTTTCCTTGCCATAGAGCTGTCCTCTCAGCCTGTAGTAGCTACTTTAGAGCTATGTTTTGTAATGACCACAGGGAAAGCCGAGAAATGTTGGTTGAAATCAATGGCATTTTAGCTGAAGCTATGGAATGTTTTCTACAGTATGTTTATACTGGAAAGGTGAAGATCACCACAGAGAATGTCCAGTATCTCTTTGAAACATCAAGCCTCTTTCAGATTAGTGTGCTCCGTGATGCATGTGCCAAGTTCTTGGAGGAACAGCTTGATCCTTGTAATTGCTTAGGAATCCAACGCTTTGCTGACACCCATTCACTCAAAACACTCTTCACAAAATGCAAAACCTTTGCATTACAGACTTTTGAGGACGTGTCCCAACATGAAGAATTTCTTGAGCTTGACAAAGATGAACTCATTGATTATATTTGTAGCGATGAACTTGTGATTGGTAAAGAAGAGATGGTTTTTGAAGCTGTCATGCGTTGGGTCTACCGTGCTGTTGATCTAAGAAGACCATTGTTACATGAGCTCCTGACACATGTGAGACTCCCTCTGTTGCATCCCAACTACTTTGTTCAAACAGTTGAGGTGGACCAATTGATCCAGAATTCTCCTGAGTGTTACCAGTTATTACATGAAGCAAGACGGTACCACATACTTGGTAATGAAATGATGTCCCCAAGGACTAGGCCACGCAGGTGAGAAAACTGTTTACAGATATAATTAACATATAATTATTCCTGCAGCACACTATAGGTTTTAATTCATAAACTATAGAAAAATAGTTCCCTGACTATAACGGTGGAAGAAATACTTTTTTTCACTTTATTGTAAGTAAACTAGAAATTTTTACCATGAGAATGATTTTAATATTTTTCTGACATTGCTATTGGAGTTTTGTATTGTGGCAGAAAGCACTTTTAACAAAATTTACTGTCTTTTTATGTTTACTTATACAGTTCAATGTTGAAATTGGTTGTGAAACCAATTTCACCATAACAGTCCCATTTTTTTTTCTATAAATTTACTATAGCATAAGTAAATGACATTTTTAGCTCTGATTTTGAGTGTCATTGTTCTGGAATGAAGTTCATTTCCTCATAAAAAATGATAATAGTGTATTTCATAGAGTTTGCAATTGAAACTTAAATACAGTATTCCTGAAGTAATCAATATATATTAAAAGTGCCTACTTAGTCATTGTGGTTTGTTTATACACCTATAAATTACAGATAGGAAGGCTGAGGCAGGTAGATCAAAGGTGGGAAACTAGACTGGGCAATATGGAATAGTGCCTGTCTCAAAATGTGAAGAAAATGGAAGAGGGCAAAGAGATATCTTGATGGTAAAGCATAAATGCCTAATGTTTACTTTTACTCTATATATGTATATATATATATGTATGTGTATATGTAGTGTAATGTAAGTCTGATCTACTTTCAGAAAACCATTTCATTACTTTACAATTATAATAAGGGGGGCTGGGAAGATAGCTCAGTGGTAGAGCGCTTGCCTTGCATGCATGAGGCCCTGGGTTCGATTCCTCAGTACCACATAAGCAGAAAAAGCTGGAAGTGGCACTGTGGCTCAAGTGGTAGAGTGCGAGCCTTGAGCTGAAGAGCTCAGGGACAGTGCTCAGGCCCAAAACTCAGGCCCCATGACCGACAAAAAAAAAAAGAAAGAAAGAAATACAATTATAATAAATTAGATACAATGTTGATTTTTTATTTTGTTTTGTTTTTTGCTGGTCCTGGGGCTCAAACTCTGAGCCTGGGTGCTGTCCCTGAGTTCCTTTTCGCTCAAGGCTAGTGCTCTGCCATTTGAGCCACAGTGCCATTTTCAGCTTTGGATTAATTGGAGATAAGAAGTTCATGGACTTTTCCTGCCCAGGCTGGCTTCAAACCACAACCCTCAGATCTCAGCCTCCTGAGTAGCTAGGATTACAGGTATAAGTCACCAACACCTGACCTTGAGTAATTATTACTATAAAAGTTTAACAAATTCTGTTATATTAATACGTGTTTTTCTTCAAAGTTGTTAGCTGATTTTAGTTAAAAGTAATTGAACCCAGGTGCCAGCAGCTCTCATGCCTATAAATCCTGAGATCTGAGAATTACAGTTTAGAGTCAGCCCAGTCAAAGAACTCTGTGAGACTCTTATCTCCAATTAATCACCAAAAGTCTGGAAGTGGAACTGGAGCTGTGACTCCAAGTGGAGAGCTCTAGCCTTGAGCAAAATTGCTCAGGAACAGCATCCAGGCCCTGAGTTCCCCACAAACAACACAAAAAACAAAAGACCAAAGCTTATGACTATTAATTTAAAAAGCAAAAGCCAGGCCTTCTGGTGAATACCTGTAATCCGAGTATTCAAGAAGCTGAGGCTGGAAGATCTTAAGATCCAAACCAGTATGGATTATATAGCAAATCCAGGCCAAACAGGAAATCCTATCTCATTGTGCCCCATACAGTAAATAAGGCTAACAGTCTTGAGGTTTTGTGATTATTAGTTCTTCAAGGAGTTTTCTGGATACATAGACTATCTTACCAAAGGGAAAATCACTTCTTTTTATAAATGGAATCCCCATGGAGTAGGCAGAAAAGTTTGTAGCCAGATGGAGCTAATTCTTACCCATTGTACATATCTTATAAAGTAGGGACAAAAGGTTATAACTTACAAAATCAAAATATTATTAATGTTATAAACATATGTCCTAAATAAAATCCCTTAGCGTCCCATCATTATTCTTTTTTCTATTTGTGCCAATAGTGGGCCTTGGAATCAGGGGCTTGTGTTCTCTCTCAGGTTCTAGCATTTTGCTGATTACGTGGATTTAAGAGTCTCTCTAACTTTTCTGCCTAGGCTGGCTTCAAATCGTGGTCCCCAAATCTCAGCCTCCTGAGTCACCACTGGCACCTGGCCCCCATCATTCTTTTAAAGGGGATGACTTAACTATTTGATTTCTAAAGTATATTTTACATCTTTTTTTGACAGTACTCAGGTTTGAACTCAAGGCCTTTAGCTTGTCGTCTGGAACTCTGCCACTTGAGCCATGCCTCCAACCCAGCTTTTGCTGGTTGCTTTAGAAATGGAGTTTCATGGGGCTGGGAAAGTGGCTCAGTGGGAAGGTGGCTTGCCTTGCATGCCTGAGGCCCTGGGTTCGATTCCTCAGCACCACATAAGCAAAAAGAAAAAAGCTGGAAGTGGCACTGTGGCTCAAGTGGTAGAGCGCTAGCCTTGAGCTGAAGAGCTGAGGGACAGCACCCAGGCCCAGAGTTCAGACCCCACAACCGGACTCCCAAAAAATAAAAGAAATGGAGTCTCAGTCTTTTCTGTCCAGACTGGCTTTTGACTGTATTCCTCAGATCTCAGCCTCTTGAGTGTCTAGAAATTAATCATGATCCTCCATGCCCTACTTAACACCCAATTTTTAAAGGGACCAATTCATTTCATAGAGCAAAGCACATCTATATAAATAAGATTGAAACATCACATTAATTTAAAAGACCATTAAGAAAAAAACATGTAATACATTGAATTTGCAGAGTATTTAACATTAATGGCAGATATTTATTTTACATGGCTATTACATGGGGAATATAAAGAGAAATCCTTTATTTTACAAGTCAGCCATCACCTTCTCTCACACATATTTGTTACTCATATTAGCCTTAATTGCCAGAAGTTTTTTTAATCTGAACTCTGTGTATTATTTGTGCAGGTTTTCATTTTTCAAACTTCTTTGAACAAGTTGTGATGTCTTCACTTCTTCAACCACAGTTCCCTCCTCTGACTTCTGCTCCAGTCGCTACTGAAACTTCTCTTAATCAAGTCATCACTGACCTTCTTCCGTTTTAATTTGCTCGTCTCTTTTCAGTCCTGATCCACTTTGATCTCTCTTCAGAAGCTGACATTAATTGCCTTATCCATCTTGAAACATACTCTCCTATTGGCATCTGGAATATCCTTCTCCTCATGATGGTCCTGTTTCTCCAGATCCTCTTTTTCAATTTAGTAGTTCTTCTGTATCTAATCTTTGGAGTGTTATCTAATTGGTTCCCATCTCTTAGACTTGCCTTACATCTCATCTACATTCATGTTTTTAATTACTCTGTGTACCCTTGTCTACCAACACTTTTTCATTTGCCATTCATATTTTTTCTAGTTTACTTACATTTATTACTTGATTGTGCATCCTTAAAAATAACAGACAAAATAATATTTTACATTAAAATCAATAACAATTCATATCCCAATAATCCTCTATTAAAATGCTTTCTAAACTGTCTTTTAATACTTAGATGTAATTTAGGAACACTCATCACATCTGATTATTTCCAACAAGTTTCATTTATTCCAAAATAGTTCCTTTTTTATGATTCTGACTTGATGGAAAAGTTGTCCAGAAAAGTACTATACATTCTAGATTAGTCTTGCTGCTTCTGTGTGGTATTCTCTAACTATGCCTCCTAGAAATTGCAACTTAAAGGCTAGCCATATGGCTCACTCTAGGAATCCTAGGTACTGGGTTCAAAGGGATTATGGTTCAAGTGCAGCCTGGTAAAATGTTAGCAAAACCCTATCTCACAAAGATGAACTCAAAGTATAGAGGGGTGGTCAAGCATGTGCAAGGCCCTGGGTCAGTCTCCAATACTGCAAAATAATAATAAAAAAAACATTTGGGTGCCAGGAAGTATTCTGCATACTATTCCATGTATTAACTCACTTAATGCTCAGAATAGACCTGAGAATTGATACTTTGTTTTACCTGTTGCTATGTTTTATTTTGTTGGTCATGGGGTTTGAACCCTGAGCTCTTCAGCTCAAGGCTAGCCCTCTGCCACTTGAGTCACAGTGACACTTCCAGTTTTCTGGTGGTTAGAGATAAGAGTCTCATGGACTTTCCTGCTGGGGCTGGCTTTGAAGTGCAATTCTCAGATCTCAGCCTCCTGAGTAGCTAGGATTACAGGCGTGAGCCACTGGCGCCCCACTTGTTTGCCTGCTGTATAGATGCATAAGCTGAGGCTTGGAAAAATAGTGTGTTCAAGATCACATAGTTGAGTAAATGGCAGACTGAGGATTCAAAATGTGTTCTTGCTCCAGAGTTGATGCTCCTAACTGGTACACATACTGACTCTTTTTAGTATGTTTTTAATATTATAAATTCTGCAAAAAAAAATAGATAGTATACTTTATGTGACTTTTTAAAATACTCTACTTTTTTCAGTGCCCTTAGCATTCCTAATTACCTATTTTCTTGCTCTCTTTCTTTGAACTTTTACCTGAGTCCCTAACACACAGTGGAAATTTGTTTCTAGACTGAAAATTTCATATGGAAAATGTTGCAGCAGGGGGTTGGTACCCATCTTGGGGCTTGAACTCATGGCTTGGGCACTATCCCTGAGCATGTTTGCTCTAGGCTGATGCTCTACCACTGAGCCACAGCTCCATTTCCGGCTTTTTCCTTTTGGGGGTAATTAATTGGAGATAAGAGTCTCACAAAGCCAGCTGGCTTTGAACCTTGATCCTCAGATCTCAATGTCCTGAGCAGCTAGGATTACAGGAGTGAGCCACCAGCACCTAGAGGCAGTTCATTTTTTTTTTTTTGGCCGGGGGGAGGGGGGGGACGGGACAGTGTTCATATTTTTTTAAAGGATCTCATTGATCAGGAAGCATTGTATTCATAAACTGCTTTGTTAGA